CACAGTGCATCGCAGTTTGTTGGTCTGGGGCTGCATAGTCCCTGCTGATCCCTGTACACTGCTGAACGCGCCTACAATGGGCATATGATCATCAGAACTGGACAAAGGAGCAATGGAAGAAGTTGGCCTGGTCTGATGAATCATGTTTTCTTTTACATCTTGTGGATGGCTGGGTATGTGTCGCTTACCTGGGGAACACATGGCACCAGGAGGCATTATGGGAAGAAGGCAAGCCGGTGGAGGCAGTGTGATGCTTTGAGTGATTGTTGACTGGGTCCTGCCATCCATGTGCATGTTAATTTGCCACGTACCACTTACCTGAACATTGTTGCAGAGGATGTACATTCTTTCATGGAAAAGTTATTTCCTGATGACAGTGGCCCTCTTCAGCACAGCTCCGACAAATGGTCTTGAGAACACAACAATAAAGTTTCGAGGTGTTGACTTGGCCTCCAAATTTCCCAGATCTCAATCCAATCGAGAATCTGTGGGATGTGCTGGACAAACAAGTCCGATCCATGGATGCCCCACCTCACAGACACAGACACTTGATCTAAAAACTGGTCCTGGTGGTCCTCTCTTAGTAGAGAGCTTGTTCAACTGCACCAATAACTTTGTATTCAAGGGGACTGTTGTAATTCATGTGAATTTAGCACTGATCTAGAAAATTGGACTAACGTTAATGCTACAGGTATACAAAGTTTTTTCCTTACCTATATGAACTTTGCTTGGTCTTTTAAGTGTCGCAGGCTCACTGGAGGGAGTCATCTGGTTACTGGTCACTGCAAGACGAAGAAGAAAATAGGTTCAACGATAATAATTTTGAAAGTTTAGTTTTAATGAAGAAAATAATCATTGTTACAATGATACAAAAACACATTAAACTAACAACAGCCTTGGTTTAATCTTTACAGTGTATAGGAATTCAGGAGGCAGCTTCTAGTGTTTTGATTTGATTTTTGGTGGCTGTTTAATATATGCACCTACATGCTGGAGTATTATAAAAAATACAAACAAGTAGACTGAAGGTTTTTTGCACATCTTTGTCCTCACAGCAAAGATGACACAATGAAAATGATGTGGCAGACTAAGGATAACCCATCTTCAACTTCCTCCTTCTTGAGTCTGCCAATGATGAGAAATATACTGTAACAATTACACTTTGAAAACAGAAAACACTGTCTCCTATATGGAAGGACTATTTTTTTAGGCCAACTTATGTCTTGTTCATTTGATAACAATTGTGTATAACCACAGAGATAATCAAATTTATAAAAAAATTAATCTCAAAATGAACCATAGATGTTCACAAATGTAATATTTCATCCATTTGTGACTTTAGTTAACAATGTATGCATGAAGGTGCACGGCTTTGATACATATAAGGCCTATACATTTGATGTTTGACATACATAATTGAATTAAAGAGGTTGAGTAATTGATAGAATATTTGTACAATGTTAACGAATATTAGTGGCATTCACCTGAAAGTATGTATTAATAGTGTTGGTAAAGGACCAGTGTGTAGGATTTAGTGGCATCTAGTGGTGAAGTTGCAGATTGCAACTAATAACTAACTAATAATCTACATGCAGTGTGTGGTTTGTCTGTTCCAGGCTACTGTAGAAACACAATAATTCATACATTCAGGTGATTATACACTAATTAAAACATACTTAAATAAAATCTAACAACAAGGATATCTGGTCAAACTTTCAAACACAGCTATTTGGCCCTCGTTTGTCATTTCTGTTACATTTCATGCTGTGAAACAACACCAATTTGAGCATTTTTTGGGTCAATATGTGCTCCCCAACTCGTCAACCTCAGATTAATTGTTTACAAAATAACTGGAACTCAGACACATCTGGTTCTACTGGTTGGTTTGAGTGCCTGAACATAGAGGGAGGGAAACAACACACGTATCACAAATAACACAAAATATTGTATTGCATATGAGCAACACTATGTAGAAGTGCCAATATCTCACATTAGACCGCTGCAACAAAAAACACTGATCTCTGATTGGCCAGCAGGTGTTAAAATCAGTTTCAGCCACTGCAGGTGTATGTGTGTTAAATATTTCACAGCCAAACTGCATTTTGTAGTAACATACAAGTGTCACAAGGTGGCAGCAGCTAAATGTGAAGACAGTATATGGGAACTGTTCATATCAATGAATTTGACAACAACTTTAAATGTTTCACAATAAAAGCCTTGGTTGGACATGAAGGGAGTCTGTCCCTGCCACAGGGTTTTTAATTTGAAACAGAAACAGGAAGTGTTGAGTTTATATGAAGAGCATAATGCAGTAGCAAAGAGTTAACACGGCAAACCCGAGCAGATCAGAAACAAGGAGGCTTTATACTAAAATATGATCAAATGATAAAGACCTGACAGTCGATCTATTAATCAGTGTTTCGTTTCATTGGTATTCGTTCTAGGTTCTAGGTGTTCTGAGAAAATACCAGTTGCTCAATACAGCCTACAGAATACATGAAAAGTTAAAGGTCCAGTGTTTAACATTTAGGAGGATCTCAGAAATGGAACATAATATTTATATGTTTTCAGTAGTTTTCAGAGTGCACTGATTAAATAAATTAAATAAAGTTTTACATAAATTATAAATGGAAGGGTAGAGGGGAAGTCAGTGAGGGCATGTTGAGCGTTTGGATATTGCCTGCCTCTTTATGGATTTGTTTGTCTAATTGGACTGCTATTATCAGTCTTTTGTTACCATCCAGCTTTTTGTTGTATACTGGGTCGATATTTTGGTCTTTTTCTTATCATTGATCTATTTTGAATCTACAGACTCTCCTCCGTCTCATGGTGTTGTAATTAAAGTTATGTGTGTACTCATGTGCGATGTAGTGATAGGTCAGACTCACAGACTGGCGTATTTCAATGCTTAAGCCTTTTAATTGACTAAAAAGACAAGAAAAAAAAACAGTTGACTCTCCAGAATGAAAGGCCTAAAATGCTACAGTGTACAGCATGTTTCTTTGTTGTCCAAGAGATATCATTCTTTCTTTCTGGCGCAGACAAACGGCTTCATGTAAGAGCAAGGCTGGTCGTCAAATTTCTTTTGATCTGTAAAAAGACAGGGAGTTATTTAGACAACCAGTGAACCATCAGAATTACGCAAAGCAGATGTATATAACACTGATAGTATATATAATGGACAGAGCTTCCGGGTCTTGAAGTGAAGCCAATGTGTCACGTAAACCTGTATTCAATGTAATGGCCAGCAGGGGGCTGCTGCAATAAAAACAAATACAAGCAGTCTTATGGAGAAATCAGCAATTGTGCCGATTTATGAGCTCAGTAAACAGTTTCCTGATGAGTTTTTGGTCTGTAATCTTCGAGTTTCAAGTCTTCTCCATCAGGCATGATGTTCACTTCTAGTAAAGATGGTTCCCATGTTTAGGAGAAGATCAAATAGATCCATAAAGCAGGATTAGGCGGGGGTGTACTGTGGATGACAGCTCATCTCAGTCAGGTCGTCCAGCTCAATGCACCAAACTCAGATCAAACTGTCAAACTAGGCAGTGCTGATCAGATATGGATCCAGATTCTTTTACTGCTTTGACAATTTCTCTTCTAAAATCGTTTCACAATCATATTTTACTGTTTATCTGTAATAGAGATCATGTGTGACCAGGCGAACCGCCATCGTTTCCTGCTACAGACGAGTAAAAACTGCGCAGCCAATAAGAGCAGCTCAAACCCAAAGACACAACTTCCAGCTTTCCCTCCTTTGTCAAGCCAAGATATTATTTGATTGTTAGGAGGTAATGGTTTCTGGTCGTTACTGGTGTTACATGTTCTTAGTTGTTGAATAGAGGGTTTTGAGAAGCTCTCGTCCAACATCCTACCAAAATCGACCATTATTATCACTTGTACTGACAAAAAAAAGGAAACTGTTTCTGAAGCTATATATCTGTTTACCTCCAAAGTTCATCAACATACAGTGCGCATTCGCACGATTATCAGGCTGTCCTTGATCCCAGTACTGAAACTGGAAACGTGTACCGTCACTCCAGAACCAGGTACCCTCCTAGACGATTAGAATATAACACAACAAATGTTTAAAAGTAAACGTTTTGTTTACAGTGTTTTACATTTTGTGCAGTCAGTGACATACCTGTGCCGCATCGTAGCCTCCAAGCCATGCGAGTGGATACGTATGAGTGAGAGTCAGGATCATACCCTGAATCGCTTGATGCTCCTCAAAGCTGTGCACTGATGCAAGGTTTCCACCCCGATCCAGACAGTTTCTCTACGCAAGCACAGAGCGGATGAAGGATGTAGTGTGGAGCCATACAAATGATACATTACATACCAAAGACACCAAATTAGAAGCCAATAACAGCAGAATGGATGTAGTGTAGAAGCTTTTTGCACTAGTGGTGGAGGAAGTATTTAGGTAGCCTTGAAATGTGTGAAAAACGCAAACAGCCCTTTTTAGAGTCTAGGCAATTTTACTGTTGTAGTTGGTTGAGGTGGAGCTCATGTTTACTATTTTGTAGAGGACTGCAACTATGGATTATTTTCTCCATTGAGCAACTGATTGTTTGGTTTATAAAAATTGTTCGAAATGTCGTCTTGTTTCATCCAATCAACGGACAAACTGTAATTATTAAAGGATTATTATTTAGGAGGCTGGAACCATGAAAAACTACTTAAATGATTGTCAATTAAAATACTAAACCTTTACATTTTTAAAGTAGCAAGTAGTAAAGAGGAGTAAAAGCCACCAATATTTCCCTAAATAATAGAAAAGAGTGATTTGTGGACTCAAATAAAGTACAGTACTAAAGTAAATGTATTTGTTACATTCCACCACTGTGCTGCACTGAAGCCAAATCATCCTGATTACCTCAGCATCTGCCCAAGTCATTGTTGTTGGAACATAGATGAAACAGCGATCGTTGAAACCAGTCCAACCGGTGGGACAAGCTATGCGACAAACAAATTTAGAAAAGAAGTGAACATGAGAGGCACCAAAGCAGGTCCCCATTGATGCACCAGACCTATAGAATGCTTAATTTAACTTGCTGAGGGGTTTCTTTGGGAATTTTCCTTGAAAACAGCTGATAATGAAGTTGGAGAGAGCAGGGAGGCAGAACCAATACAGTTTTAGCCCTAAAAAGACTTAAATACTTCACAAAGTCATAAGAGTAAGAATTTTAAGTCACCTTCTTGAATGATTAAATCTGTCCCGTCACCGATCTCTGCTTCTGGAACAGCTGGAGGTTTTGACACAGCACTTAGTGACTCGGTTCATCTTCTGTTGTTATTCTACATACACAATAACTGCATGCAAACTCTCTAATTTTCATCAAAAGTGACAGAAAGATTGGTTACATTGTCAACAAAGGTAAAAAAAAGGCTGACAAATTGTTTGTTAGTATATGGGCACATGGGTTAGGCACTTTGTGACTGCTGTCTGTGAAAGGTGCTCTCTCTCTCTATATATATATATATATAAACTTTGCTTTCTTGTTTTAAATTAAGGGCTCCTCAGAGCAATTACAAAGCTACAATGACTCGGCTGAGACCAACAGTCACATGACAGTTATACCATGAACAGGCTGTGTTTACATAAAGATAGAGAACATGGAAGGCAAGGATTCATGCCATGATATTTGACGTGTACTATAAAACTTTGATAAAAAGCAGGGTCCAAATTAGACGCAGGTCCCCTGGTGTGGCTACACATTTTCCCAAATAAACACAGGTCTCAATGAGAGGCCTGGACTGGATTTTATAGAAGTTCTTTGGATGTATAAACCTTTGTAAAGCCTCAAAGCTGCTTAGATCATCTACATAAATAGAAATATTTAAACTTTTGTCAATATGATTGAAGCAAATAAAAGCCTGAGGTATTAATTGAAGCTTGTTAAAAATGCTGTATATATTATATATATGATTTACCCCGTTATAACTGTTCACTTTACAAAAGTCATTTTTGATTTCTCCCTGTCTCTAGCCACGATTCTGCTGTTTCCATAGAGGTGCAGGACATTTATATTGCACTGACAAACTAACCCAGTTGGTAAAAAAGTGAGAGGAACCAAAAAAAAGCAAACACACAGTTCATTTAATTCAAAAAAGTTGTAAATAGTAAAACTACTACTAAAAACTAAATACTAAAATAAGGAAAAGTACTAAATAAGGATCTTTAATCTTTTTCTGTGACCTACAAAACTAAGTTAGTGCCGCTTGAAATTACTACTAAAAGCTGCTTAATTAGGAATCTTTGTGTTACTTTGCTGTTAAATTTTTGGTGTAATCCGTTTCAACAATTTTGCGTTAAAGTAACTTATCGCATTACAGTGCAGGAACTCCTTTGGGTTCAGAAGAGGGAACATTGACCTATTTTTCAGGAAGCATCGATTGCAAATTTACATAAACTGAGCAAGTCATCAGCAGCTGTGGTCCGAGCCATCATAGCACAGACGAGTAGAGACACAGTCAGCATCTTCATGATCTTCAATAAAGAGAAACAGACATGTTGGTAATACTTCAGAAGAGATGTGAGAATCCATCAGAGGATGTAGAGATGATGATGAAGACAGAGCAGAGTAGAGAGAAAAGAGAGTTAAAGCAAACCTCCGGCTGGGTTATCTTCTTTGTCCGCTTGTAGCTTCGACCTTCTTGTGTTCAGGTGCTGAACAAGAGAAATGCCAGCTCTTACATACAGTAAAGTATCCTCTGTGTTGTTTACAAATCAAGGTTCAAGCAGAAATTCTTGTAAGAGGTGTACCTGCAGCACCCTATGAGAGCTTGTCTATTTGTCAATATTAAAAGGGAAATTTCCAGTTAAGTCCATTTTTAAATATTTGTATAGCCCCACTGTTTGCCTCAGAGGCTTCACAATTTGTACAAGGTTCAACAACCTCTGTCCCTCGATTCGGGTAAGTAAACACGTGTTGAGTTGTGGTTGAATATTATTAGAATTTTATATAGTCTATAGTCTATAGCCCTAACATTAGAGGTATTAATTAAACCAAGCAATGCACTGTAAAAAAGGTTTTAAGTCAAACTTGAACTTCAAAATTTTGAAAAGGTTTTGCCAAACTATAATCTTTTGTTGAGGTAATTTATGTTGTAAATTGTGCAGTGGACAATGAGTTAGACTCATCAGGTGACTATAAACCTGACTCTAAATGTATGTTAATGTTGCTCTGTGTCTGTTGGATGTGTAGATTGTTTGCCATAGCAACTTAACTTTAGGTATATATCAGCTGTGTTCATGTTTTATTTCACTGCATTCAAATGGCCAAAACCAGATGATTTGTCCCTACTCTGAACTTTAAAATACATTTTAAAACAGTCTTGGACCTGAAGGTGAAATGCTCCCTGGCATATATCTGTTTGAATAATTAACAGTTTCTCCAGATGGTGGCGCTATGAAACAAAACAAAACGGTGTCCGGTGTGCATGATGGTGATTCATCACTAATTCACTTAAAATAAAGATACTGCAATTCTTGCCATCACCACTGAAGCGTGTCATTAACTTTACATCAGAATATATACATAAAATAAACTTTCCTAGTCCCAGTCAGTCCCTTGTCCCGAATCACCAATATTCCTGTATTTCTCTGTTTTGTAGTTCGCAGACTATACATCACAGTCAGGCCACTAATCTTACAGACACAGACTCATAGACCAGATTGTTTTAATGCTTGAGACTTTTAATTTTGCATAAGACAAGAAAAAACAATTCACCCTCCAGAATAAGTTGCTAAAAGGATTATTTTCAGTCTGCTCTTTTTAAAATATTTAAGGCCTAAAAGACAATCCAGCTCCTCCTCTCTCATTCCTTAAGTAGCTTCACAGCAATAGAAAAACAAAGAAATACAGAGCCTTCAAGTTATAATACTGATTATACAAAACACAGTGTGCTTGTTGTTCTCGACAGGTACTTGATGCCTCTCTGACAGCCCAGGAATCATCAGACTTTCTTGGCGCAGACAAATGGGCGAGAAGCACCACAGCTGACATTATCCCAGCACCTTTGGTCTGTAAATACAAACAATCTCTATGTCAAATTGAAACTGCTGTCTGCTAAAACATCATTGTGGTTCCTGATTTAAACATTCAAAGGAGACAGATTGAGACAAGATCAAGAAACAGTTTCGTCTCGAACTAAGCTGTAAAATGTCTCCAGAATTCAGGACTACAGGTTCCTAGGTGGGGTTTGCTGTTACCATGATAACCACAGGTGTTGCCAAATCAATCAGGCATGAAACTTTAAGCATTACAAGTTTAAACTCTATATACTCTTCAGTAGAAATAAGTTGATTTGATTCACCTCCAAAGTTCATTTGCAAAGCAGCGCTGCTTGCCACACGGTAGTTGTTAGGCTCTCCACTCACCAGTTCAGATACTGGAAATGAGAACCATCACTCCCACAGCCAAAGACGATCCTAGACAAGAAAACTGAATATACACAAATGAAACCGGTTTAATCAAATGACATGTTGAGCCTTGTGTTTAATGATTAAAAATACTCTTGTGCATCAGAGCCTCCGGAGCCATTGCCTCCTTAGACTCATAACTTGCGGGCCGTAATCAGCCTCTGAATCTCATGGTACTCCTGTATGTTCTGCACTGATGCAAGGTTTGCACCCAAGGACTGGCAGTTTTTCTACAGTGGAGATTAATAGAGAGCAGAGTTGAAACAAATAAAAACACCAAGTCAGAAGAAGAAACCAAGAGTGCAAGTCAAGACAAACATATAAACTTTATCTAGGAGCAGTAATTTGAAATCATCCTGATTACCTCTGCTTGAGCCCAAGTCATGGGTCTTGGAAAGTAGTGGAAACAGCGATTGTTGAACAAAGACCACCTATTGGGACAATCTGTTGACCTCTTGACCAGACGACTCTTTACTGAGAACACATAATAGAATAACAGATAAGTCTTCGGTTAAGGTCTTTTCCTGATCGACAAGTTTAGATAATTGCCCAAAACATAATAAGCCACAGTTCAAAAAGACAGGATCCCATCACCCCTATTCTTAACCTCTCTGCACTGGTTAACCGACAGTTCTAGAGTTGATTTTAAAGGAATAGTTTGACATTTTTATTTGCTTTCTTGCCAAAGTAGTAAGCAGTGCTGTAGTCAAGACCACCTTTTCAAGTCCAAGACCATGACAAGCCGAGATCTAGTCAAGACCAAGTTCCAAGAGGTTTGAGTTCAAGTCAAGACCGAGTCCACATGAGAGAGACAGAGTCAAGACCGAGACAGAAATAAAAGAATGCTTTTGGCATTGCCAACGAGATGAGTTTTGGTAGCCAGCACACGATTACAGGTGACTGTCTCTTTCCAAATCCTTAGCAAAAATGGATTTTCGAACCCTAAACCAATACCCATTTTCTGAACAAGAGCACTTCATCAATGATGTTGTTTTGAAGGAGGAAATAAATAAAAAAATATTACTGGACTTGGTCGTCTAAATGCTATGTTATATAAATGTCTATCATAATAGTGATACTAGAGTATTCCTGAGTACACAGAATCTTGAACAAAGTGTAAGGCATTTCAATAAAAATCTAATAAAAGAAGACCCACTTACCTGTTTGATCATCCTTGGCCTCGGCTTCTGGAAGAGCTGGACAGTTTGAGAAAGCAGTTATTGACTTGGGTCATCTCAAAATATGTAAATAAAATACTTCTCAGTTCATTATACATAATAGCATCTCTATATAACACTTACCAGCAGCTCTGGTCAGAGCCATCATGGCACAAAGAACTGCAAACGCAGTCAGTATCTTCATGTTGGGAATGATGATGATAACCTTCAATAAACAGACACAAACATGTGAGTAACATCAAGTTGGGAGCAGACGACTGTCAATGCATTAAGGGAAGTAAGATAAAAGAGTTTGTAGCAAACCTGCTGCAGAATGATCTTGTTTGAAGCCTGTAGCTTCTGTCTTCAACAAGAGAAAGATCAGATCTTATATAGTTACTTATCTTGTCAACTTTTACAAAACAGGAAGGAGACATGCAAATACAGACATAGAAACACCTTATCTATGTGTTGATCAGATATACTCAGTTCCCACCATGAACAAACACTATTATGATCAGTTAATGTGTGTAATGTGTAATTCAATTTGTTTTAATGTATACAGCATTACTATGTTCTTGGCACATAACATAGACATAATGGTTTACCCGATTTAGCAAAGTTTAAAATATGTAAAGAAATCCTTTAAGGATGATTTAGCATTTAGTGAACTTCCAAATCACACTTGGTGAGACTATGATAATTAATGCTGCACTG